TCCGAACATGTACGTTTACAAAAGGAAACAGTAATGTACACATATACGCATATGACCAGTGCCGTTTGCTTGAAATAACCATAAGAGGATGTATAACCATCTATATAGTTTATTTCCAGACTGACATTGATCACCTTACCACAATAACAGAATCTGAAATTTACTGGGATCGAAAATAGTCTATATTTGGCTCGATGTGACCGTCATCTTTCAGACGAATATATATATATATATATATATATATATATATATATCATTATCACATCAAGCTAAATATAGATTCTTTTCGTACTTCGTAAAGTATACATAAAGTTAGAGGAGAAAAATAAAGTGAAACTACAGAAGACGAAAATGTAAGGGAGAAAAAATAGAGACGAAGCATATTAAGAATCAAATGTATCCAAAAGATCACAAGAAGTTGATACATAGGCATTACTGAAAACCATTTTAAGGCATATCACAAAAACTCTCCCACTATTGATTCCTGTTTCCTCGGAAACCACAGAAAAGCGGTTTACACATACCTACGTTGCTAAAAAAATGAGGTTTCAAGTGTCAGTCACATAAATTTAATCAAAATTCGATACAAAACGTTATTTTCGAGGAAAAAAATATACCAGACCTACTGATTACATTAAAATTCATCTACAGTAACTGAAAATCTTTATGTTTAGGTCTTTGTAATTAGAACTACTAATTTAATTTTTGATTTTTTGTTTGTTTTGATTATAGCTTTATTCCACACAGTACTTTTCGGTAGAAGTATGGACTTTTCAGCATGTGATGTCGGTAGCCCGAATTTCGCAGGCCATCCAGTGATATCAGGTGTACGTCGGCAGGGAATCGAATCCAGGACAATGTACTTGGTCGGCGAGAACCCTAACCGCTGTGCCACCGACGCACAGAAATATTACCTTTACGGAAAATTATTCAAATAAACTTGAAATGACTTAGAAATAAAAAAGTGACAAACTAATTAATAAATGTTACAAATTTCCTGGAATTATCTGAGCTCCGAGTTAGATCGAATCATTATAAATTATTTAAAATAATCCCAGCGTGTTTAAAAGAAAACAAAAATCAAAACAAGATTTCTCTGAACGTTTCACTGAGTAAGCGACAGCTTCTTCAGCAAAATTATTGGGATTTGATTAACCATCAAAGTATATGGTTAAAAATTACATAAATTGAAGTGAATTCCTTTGAAGGTCACTTGTCAGTAGACAATTTGTACCGGCAGAAAAATGTAAACAATCATCACATATTTGTCAAATTGTTATATGTGCATGTTTGTCTGAATGAGACGGGTATGTGTGTGAATGTTGTTTATTGTATGGGAAACACATTAAAACATGATAATATTTTATATTGGTCATAATGTTGGAGTGAATTATGTTTTTTCCTCATCTATTTTACTTCATTAGGTCCTGTCATATAGTTCTACTGAAAAGAAACTGTGGCTTCAAAAGCGAAACATATTTATTTTCTTAAACGCAACGGGATTATTCTAAATAATTTATAAAGATATTATTTCATTTTTGAAAATGAGGTAGCAGCTCGGTCAAATCACGAATATAAACAACCCTTATTTTATTTCAGGCTGAAAAGCACATTTCTTTTTCTGAAGTATGAAACATGGAGACGAAAACAATGACTTTTCTGAATGTTTTGTAAACAAATGACTTCCGACAGTTGACATTTCTCTTTTTAGTGATATCTCTCATGACTATAATTTATTATTTGCAAGCAAACATTTGTGTAGATAGTGAGTGTTCCAATGAACTTTCACAGAAACATATAGGTATTTTTATTTATTTATTTTTTTGCTAATTTCCTGTAGGTATGTTTTTCTTCCTTCAAAATTTCATCAGTAATGTCTTTTTTTAATCTAATGACTCCATTGGTAACTGTTTCCTTTCTGATAAACTTGTATAGAACACAGTGAGGAGAGTTTTCGCGAGATACATACAGTTAATTTATTTTTGTCACATAAGATTTTCATCAGCTACGTAAAATTTGAATTCTAAAATAAATAGGCAGTTATACTAGCCTCATTTTAATATTATTAAAGGGTATGACGAGTCCATTTTTGTAGGATAGAATAAAAAGCACCCCAAAAAAGAAGAAATATGATTTCCAAATTACGCAAGAAGCTAGAATATTAAGATTATGATCAAATAAAATAAAAGCATCCTTACATTGTAACGAAGTGAATAATTTAAAATCAGACATAAATAGAAATGAACACATATTAATGGAATGACTTCCGCAGACAAAATGATTAAAGTAAATGACAACAAAGGCATTCATAAAACATAGATTAATATGAAAGAAGATGGATGTAGATATTAAGTTGAGCTATAAAGGCATGCACAAAGTGGAATGCAATGAATTTTCTTGGACAGTTAAGTGAAGGAGTTAGTGTTTATCGAGTTTGTAATGGTCTCCTTTTGAACACATAATCCATGCACCATTCTTGGAATGGTAGTAGCCTTAGAAATTAGAAGTATTAGTAAGGCTTTTTGTCTGTACGCAGCATGAAAATATTCTGATGTCTTATATGATCGAAACGGGAAGCTATGGTACCATTATGCAAGACTGAACCTCCAAGGTGTAGACTGCTATGTCCATTCCGCCTGTGTACTTCCTTCTGCACTTAAACATGAAAAGCAGTTGCAGGTTACAACAGTCAGGAGTCCGTTCGTTTTGGATTATACAAATGGACGCATTGTTTTTTACAGCAGTACCAATTCAGAAGTTCGAAGGCTCTTAGTAGTACACTTTTCGTCCTTTTGTTAATCGTTTCTTAAGCCCAATCACTTTAAAATCCTTACTTTAGAAGTAGGTTTTTTTTCAACAGTACTGCACTCAACTTCTCAAAGCTCACTGAACATTTGGATGCATTACTTACTGAAAATGGTGCCTTTGTTTAATTACTCACTGGAGAAAATCTTTGCTACTCTCCGGTGAATCTTGATGGAAGCTTATAAGGCGAAAGCTGTTTTTTTACGTTATTCAGATTTAGTGATTATTTGCTTGGTTAAGTACTACTGACACCTAATATCTCTTATTTATCATCGTATGGATTTCTATGAAAGGTTTTATTTTTAATTCGTCTCTACTTGTCCTCACAACAACATCCATGAATGACATCCTACTGTCGACTTACAAAACACTGTAGGTCAACTTTACTTCAGTTTTTCCCCTTAAATTTCCATGATTTCGGGGGCTCACTTAGAAAATGTATTTTCAAAGGTATTGTAGATGTTTCGCCAAATTATTTGAATTATAGTGTAATTTCAACTGTAGAGCATTTGTAAATACGCTGTAAGATGTGCATGGAAATAAGAATAAGTGGTATTTTATTATGCCGTGATGGAATATATTTATTTTGATAAAATCTCATAGTGTTACTCAGTAATATTTACTGATGACATTTTGAGCACAATTAATTGCTCATAATCACATCAAGGTATGCACACAACTCTCAAACTTCGTTTATATAATTTCATTATTTTGCATTGCTTGACTTGATAACAGAGTTATATAAACGAAGTTAGAAAGTTGTGTGCATACCTTGATATGTTTATGAGCAATAAATTGTGCTCGAAATGTCATCAGTAAATATTACTGTATAACACTGTGAGGTTTTATCAAAATAAATATTACCCATAATGGAATTATACTCTACCATATTACACAAGTGATGGAATATAGTTGTCAGGTTTAATCAGTAAAAATGAATCATCCATTTGGTTCCAGCAAGGACAGGACTCCAGGTGAACATAGATAAGACGGAGGTTGTGTAAATAACCAACCAACCAACCAACAACAACAACATCCAGCGCCAATCACAATCAAAGGGAGGGATTTGAATGAGGTTACTTCATTCACTTCACTTATCCTGGGAGCATTGTCTCAACTAAAGGCAGTTGGAACGGATGAGGATGTCAAATCGAGCGAGAATCAGGAAGGCGAGCGAGAAACACATTCATCAACCTGAAACCAATCTGGAAATCTTCGTCACTCAACTCCTAATCAACAACAAAATTCGGTCGGATTTTCAATACAAACTGCGTCAAGTCAGTCAGCTCTTCTATACGGATAAGAAACTTGGCGGGCGGGTCACAAAGAATATTTCCAACAGCCTGTTGCAGACCTTCATCAGCAACTGTCTTCGCTGGATCTATACTGAAGATCAGATGGCCAGGGCGGAAAGAATCACCAACAAGAAACTATGGGAACAAACAAAACAAGAACCAATCGCCAACCAACAAATATGCAGGAGAAAGTGGAGATGGATCGGACACTCGCTCACTGAGGCCGCTGGGTGACATCGCGCGCGCGTCCGGCCATCCCTCGATTGGAACCAGGCCGAAAGGGAAGAGGCGAGTGGGACGTCAGTGGAAGGGTGACATGGAGGAGATCGTATGCAGAGGATTTGAGACAGTATGGACTAACTAACATGGATGCAGGTGAAAAGTGCGGCAGAAGGAAGACATAAGCAAGTGTAGACGTGCAGTTGAAGCCCTGTGTTCCAGGGAGCAATAATAAAATAATAATATGAATGATACTATTGCCATGGACTTAGATATTTATTATGCAGTAGTCAGAGTAGACACAGAGTCGTGGGTAATAATACTCATCAGTCTTCGTTGCTTTATCTATCCAAATAAATGAAAAACATACTTTATATGTCCAGCCAGAGTTTGTTTTGTTGTCCTAAGTATGCGTGAGGCTAACATAACATCAAATGTAAAACAAATTTGACATTTATAATGAAGAATGTGAAAAACTATGGACGCAGCATTTAGATCTGAGGAAAATTAGCTTAACAGAGAAAGCCATTTTGACCAATACGACTAAGCTAAAAATATATTAATTCAGTTGCTAATCTGTTGAACAGAGTTCGCATCTATCCCAGATTTTACCTTATCCTAAGATTTATTGAAAAGTAAAATAAAATAGGCGGTTTCACAGACAGTAAGTAGTAAACTTACTCGATATAAAACAAATCCTATAGAAGCCAGCCTTGGAGCCCGATGACGTAATCGACGACGGTCTGACTGCATAAGAGCAATAACTGTAGTCGCGAAACCATCAGGATCATTCGGATCGGGAGAATTAATTACCAATCGAAATTGAGGATTAGCCCAATGACTTGAACGAATATATGGACGACCACCACAAGATACACCTCGAAGCCATCGACCACGTAAGTGAACTGATGGAAACTGGTGAGGAGGATGATAAGCCCCTGTAGATTTAGCAGTCACTGGAGGTGGTTCTGTAAGATGACAAATATCTAGATAATCGAAGTTGGCAATAAAATCCTCAAGAGACATCCTAAAAAAAGAAATGTAGTTATATGAATGAAAGGTCAATCATGAACAGAACAACAGTTTAACTACGATTGTACGGCATTTAAATTATGAGACATCTACAAGTTACACTTGAATACAAGTTATTTGTTTAGGAAATATGATTGATTGATTAATTATGTATGGTTCCGATCATCCAATTATTCACTGGGATCTACGTGACACCTGACGCCTATTTTATACTAACAGCTATTTACTGAAAACAAAGCATGCACATCCTGTCTACAGTACTGTAAAATGTTGACACAAAATGAAATTTAATCATTGTTCATTACTCCCTTGTATTCAGTGAGTTTCTTAAACTGTATCATCTTTCTCTGAGTTGTGTCTTCTTTAGGTTACGTATAATAATTTTATTCAGTGTGTAGTCCTAATGTTTGGATGAAACTGAATAAGTCACACAATTTTCAGTGACATTTCAAATTCTCTTGAATTCTTAGAAGTTTCACTAGGTTAAACCAACTACATACTTCAACAGATAAGCAATCGTTTTATTCTGTACCGTCTTCTTGTTGTTGTTTTCACTCACTGGGTGTCATAAAACTACATCTCAGACAAAGAAAATCAAAACAGGAGACAAACTAAATGATAATGATATTGGCAACAATACATTAGCATACATGTGAAAACTCCCCTAAATATATGTTCGCCTACTCTACCAGTAACATATTTACTAAAGTCTATATTAGATATCCAAGCTTCTAGAAAAAAATACATGACACTCTGAAATTCATTGCAGATGGCACTAGTATGGTTTAGTGTGCTGAATAAATGCTCGAATCTTCAATTTCAACGGATTCTTTCTTTGAACTCGTCTTTATTGAAAATTAGTCTCTAATGTTCTTTATTGATGCTGAAATAAAGTTGAAGACTATCCACTATAATAAAAATATAAAGGGATATAGAATGACTACTTCCTTCTGCTATGAATTCTGCATTCATCTAATTTTTTTTTATGGAAACCACACATGAGGGATGTCCCGTGTATTAACTGTTAGAAGTCTAAGGATATAAACATTTTTTCTTCGTTTTATGCTAATTGCTATGTAATTGTTATAAATTCACATGCAAAGAGGAATCCCAAGACAGAATTGCCTTCCTGGATGTCCTACTTACAAGAAAACCAGATGGTAGCATAAAAAGAAATTTGCATAGAAAAAGCACTTGGACAGGACAATATACACATTTTCATAGCTTCGTTCCTATCAAATACAAAAGAAATTTATTGAAAACCCTCAGTCACAGAGTTAGAGCTATATGCTCAGAAGAAGTAATTGAAGATGAATTCAGCATTGTGTATGATACTTTGATCGAAAATAGCTATCCCGACAAATTTATCAAGAAACACATGACAAAGAAAGCGGAAAAGGACTACTCACTATCCGTAAACAAGAAACCTTTATATATACGACTGCAATTAAAGGGCAGGAATTATATAAAATTAGTTCAAAGAAGCTTTAGTGCTGGCGAACTACACGTTTCATTCTCCACAAGACCGATGGTGCTACCTCGACTGAAAGATGAAGTACCTAGACTAGCTGGCCACTCCAAATTGCATCTACCAATTCAACTGCGCTTGTAGTGGAGCGAGTTATATTGGCCGTTTCTCTAGGAACTTGATTTTTCGTGCTCGAGAACATCTCCTAGTATGGCTAAGTAAAGGTGTAGTGAAAACTATTAGCAGCTCGATATTGAAACATCTGGTGTAAACCAGCCACAAAGCCAGCATAGTAGCATCCTTCTCTATAATATACCAGGTGCCAAATAAATTGCCAAAACAATCGAAGCACCGCATGCGCCAAACAGCAGAGGCTATTACAATTCGCCTCAAACAACCAGCGCTCTGTGTTCAAAGGAAGCAAGTCCAGCCAGCCCCTACTACTGCCCTGGCGTTCAGTAAAGACTATAAGTTCATGAATTTGTAATATTATCTTTCCTAATTTTATCTGACATTCAGCTTATTTTATGTTGATGCTGTTCAGCTGTAATCTATCAATATTATTGATTTGATGTTATTTAAATAAGATTAATGCTGTTCATAATACTAACTCATTCATTCACTATAATGTACATATAACTGTAGAGCCTGATGATGAATTTATCGAAAAGCGTACTCTTTGTTCAGTATCCATTCTTTTAAAAATTTTAGTGGGCATTTTTAATTAGTTAAAATGTTATATTTGAGCTTCTTTAATTTCATCATATTCATCATAAATATTATTTTTAATAAATTCAAATAGAATACTTGCCAAAACTCTTCTTGAGCTTTTACTAAACCAACTTTTAAACGATCTTGTGGAGGTAGACTAAGCCATTCAGTTGAACCTTCAGACCATGCACCTGTCCAGTCAACTCGAACAGAAGGCCATAAATTTCGTAGACGGACTAAACGTATTAATCGGCTTCCTGATGCATCTGTAAGCCGAAGTTTTCGACAGTCGGTTAAACCAAACGCTTGACCAGGAACAAATCCCACTGGTATTACAAAACCTGGACCAGGTACACCTTTAGTCTAATTCATAGAAAAGAAAAGATGAAGATATCAATTAATGAATGAAAGTGAAAAAAAATAATGAAATGAAATCAACTTCTCAAAAACTTCCTCAATGAATCTAATATCTTCATAAGAAGTTTAAAGGAAAAATATGAAAGTAAATCATATTACTATTTTGTCTTTACGCTTCCAGAATAAGACATTCACTGTAATATATATATATATATATATATATATATATATATATATATAAGGTCGTACCATACCATTCAGCCACTGGGACCCGATTTAATGGTTCATGAGTTCTAAATCACGGATTGGTAGAACTTAGAAATCATGAGCCATTAAGTCGATTCCCAGTGGCTGAATGGTATACGAGCTTGCCTTGTAACCGAAAGGTCCCGGGTTATATATACATATATATATATTATATATATTATTAATATATATAAAGGATGTGCTCATTTAAAGCAAAGATGATGAATATTGACCTGTTAAGATGAAGTAAAGTCGATAAGTTTGAAAAAATTTTTATCAGTAAGACAAACAGTGGATAAACCCTTGTACGCAAATTCACTCATTATTTATATAAACACTTGACATGAAATACTATAGAAAATTAAATAAATCAACTCCTTTTCTTTTGAAAAGAGTATTACGCCAGAAAAATCATCTCAACAGTTTGAAAAACAATGTTTTCTTTTGAAAAATTATTATTGATAAACTTATTCAACTTGAGATGGATAAAAATCAAAGGCTTCAAAAATGAATAGAGATTTCAACCATTTTTTATAAATTTAGATTTCCCTATAACTACGTTTCTGCAAAGTTGACACTTCGACAGTAAATTTCATTTTATCATATATGTTCATTTGGTAATAAAAAGAAATTCGTGGAAAATAGCCCAACAGCAATGAGCAAATTAGTTATACTATTGACAAGAGCATGGAGTGTTTCACTAAGTGAAAATAAAAACAAAATTAAATTAAGTTAATGTAATATAATAGTATGGTCAAGATATTTGACCCAGTATAAAATCTAAACTCAGCAAAATGGTGGACAGTATACAAATCGTGTTATCTACAAAAATTAAATAGTTGAAATGTTGCTGAAAGATAGTTTAGATCCTGAAGCTGATTACACGGTTCCGAATTATGCGAAGCCAGGGGTTGTGAGATGTAAACAGCAAATAACTGAGCCTTTATAAGGGGTTCTGATTTAATATCTGTACCATCCGAGGATTATGAGACTGTGTGACTAAAGTTATTTACACACTGTAAATCAGATGAACATTTTTTGTTTGAATCAAGAGGCTGTCTTTGGCAAGTATTATATAGGCATATTTCAACTCCGCATTCATCTCTACAGAGCGAATTGTTCTCACCAGAATCTATTCACTGTCTAGCCGCCTTCGGTTTACAAAGATTACCTTCGATTATATCAGCTTGCGACTAAATTGACTCCAATACCTTCTCTGTTTGAGATCTTTATTTTGTGCATTTAAAATGTTATTATAAGTTGAAGATACAGTGATTTCACTTTTCACTGGATTTGGTGAGAAATAATGAAGGAAACTTCAAAGGGAATCAGAAAAGTAATATCGAAGTGAAGTTGAAATCGCATAACTTTCAAACTTCCTCCCTTCCTCATATTCACTAGTCCTTTCCACGTAGAAACAGTAGCATTCAATAAAAGCTATTACATGCAAGTTAATTATTATACGTTAAATCAATTACAAAGGATGCAGAATAAAAACCAAAACATCTAAACATACCAATGTTTTTTCAGAGATAAAATTACAATTTCATTCATGTAAAAAAAACTTCAATATTATGATGCTTATATAATACAGTATTTTATTTTGTGTAACAGAGTAGATACAGTGCTATTGTGAGTTCATCCTTAATCCAAATTGATGCACACCATGATTCATTGATTGGAATGTCAAACCAAAAGTTCAGAGGAACAAAACATTACTTGTTCCAAAAATAAACTTCACATGAACCTGGATTTCATGGAAGACAACCTACGATATCCTTTAGAGAAGAATCTCAGCATCTTTAAAAAGAACATTCTTGCCAGCAACACTAATCGTAGTGTTCTCCAGTTGTCTGTTTGTCTACAGAAACCTTAAGGACAAGACCTTGTATCTGACCACTTCTATATGCATATATCAGTTCACCTGTTGCTGTAGATTCAGACGCATTCGTCATTCGAAGCGTATTCTGTCTAAAAGGGGTCAAAAACTCTATCCCACATGGTTACAAGAGAGTGGTAATGACTCTATAAGAAGTGACGTAAAAAAATACCCTGTCAACACTGATCTTTCCATCTCAAACAAAGCCTCCTTCAAAATAATCTACAAAGTGCAGAATAACCTGCCAAAGGCAATATGCTTTCGTCTTCTTTGCACTGCTAAAGCTTTAACTAATCAGTTAGTACAACCGAAGCTATGCATACAGAAGAAAATCATCCAACCACTTCTACTATCATAGTAACAACCGTATTGATTTCTACTAACTTGATTTTTGTTCGTATGTTTTTCCAACTCCTTATGGCTCATGTATTTTTTCAGAACTCTTGCATAATTTCATATTTTCCTTCGTTTCTATCTGCATCGTGATTACAACTCATTCGTTAAATTATTCATCTGAATACGTAATTTCAATACATTTATTCAACTCCTTTAATGCAATGACTAATATCAGCAACTATGGTTGCGAAAACTCATCACTTTTGTTATCACCCTCTTTCGTGAACTGTACAGATAAAGAAAATGAATTCGCTGACAAGAACCTCTTCACTGAACTATACGTTTTGTTCTCATGATTGTCTAGATGGGAATTATTAATGTATTGTCAGTTTTTACACTTGACTTCCAATAAATGTTAATGTTATGTAAACAAGAAATAATATCGGAAAAAATTTAAATCATCAGTTCATTAGAAAGTTATTGAACTTGAATATGAAGATATTTCACTCACAGTTCCCTTAATAATATAGAGGTTACTTCTTGAAAACTACAAATCGACATAACATTTATCGGTTAGATTATTTACAAGTGTATTTAAAATTAAAAAACCAACTCACTTTTATTCTCGCTGTAATTAAACTACGACGATCAAATGACTTGATTAAAATATCATCCAAATCGGATGGTGGTTGAAGGCCTTGATCTTCTGCACCTGGTAGTGTATATGATTCTGTCAAACCACCAGTCAAGTCATCCATTGCATCTCCAACGAGTCCAACATTTAAAGCTTCATATGATCCATTTAATCTAAACATTTGTTGGAAACATTGAATCTACTGGTTCATGACAAAGTGACAATTCATCAGAGATTAGATAATTAGTCAAATAGATTATAAAAAATTTGGTTTGTGCCGAAATGTTCAGCAGGAGCTACATACCACAATATTTTTGAACAACTAGACCACTTCAGTTTATTTGTTGGCTTACTGCTTACTTTAGACAAGTAAATATGAAGTACTAGTTTGCAGGGATTTGATTGGCTACAGCATTAATCACGAGTTGACGTAAGTTACAGAACCACTGGAAAACCTGAGAATACTAGACAGTTGTTTCTTCCTAATTTAAGACTCTTCATCAGTATGCACCCAACAAGGGGTTTCGAACACAGAATCTTCCGGTGGCATGGCGAGCTCATTGGTTTTCAGTGGCCTAATGGTCCACGAGCTCGCCTTTTAACCAGAAGGTTCTGAATTCGAAACCCTCTGGTGAGTGCGCACTTCTGAAGAGTCCCAAAGCAGGACGAACGAAACAGCTGTCCAGTACTGTCAGGTTTTCTAATGGTTCTCTAACCGATGTCAATTCATGATGAAATCCTGTAACAAATCAGTCAAATCCCTACAAATCAACACTTGAATATCAATGAAGTGCTAACTAGCGACTAACCCCATTCAGGTAGGTAGTTAACTGGGGTTCTAGTGGGAGGCAGTGAACAGTAGGGTATGGCAGGTTGAGGGTGAGGCAGTAACTCTTAGAAGAAGACATTGCAAAGTGGTTGCGCTATGTCGTTGATTGGCAGAAGTTATAATATATGGGATGGCCATTAGATCGGGTCTCAGTGGCTTACTGGTCTACGCGCTCGCTAGGCTTGTAACCAGAAGGTCCTAAGTTCGAACTTCGACGAGTGCGTACTGATGAAGAGTCCCTAACTAGGACGAAATGGCTGTCCAATACTCCCAGAAGTATAGAATATCAAGGGTTTTAAAAACAGTTCAGTACCACTGAGTAACAAGACTGCATCTAATTGATTGTATCCAAAGTATAATTCACAGAAATGTTAACTTACGCAACCCGTAGCTTAGTCTTAATCACAGTCCTTTTTATGTGTTTTTCATCTTTTATTGAAGCTAATGTATAATGCCTACCTCTTCATGCTAATTATTTAAATACGAAGAAACAATAGAATCTTTTCAGTCATTTACGACAGAGCTAATATTCGAAGTATTAGTACTGTCAGAAACAAATTTTGAACAATTTCGAACCTAAATTCAAAACCGTACATGCTAAATGATACCGTCGATCTAGAAGTCTACTAAATTTTCCATAAGCCAATAATAAAAAGAAACTTGGGATACATTGTAAAATAAACATTTACACTTATTTCAAATAATTTAAATACTAAATGAAAAAAGTAGAACTGAAATGATCAACTAACTTTGCGTATGCTTTTTCTAATAAAGTTGGCCAAAACTCAGTTAATCTTCCAGAATGTACAAACAATGGCTGGCCACCAGGTCTGACTGGAAGACGATCATCAATGTAAACTTCTTCCCAGCGACCAAAACGCCAAAATCGGAAAGCAAATATGCCAGCATACCATTCTACTCTAAAAGACTGTCCAGTAGGAATGGTGCGACTAAGTAGACTAGGCTGGCTGGCTATGGCAGCCAGTGCGGCAACAACCCAACAGTCACCTATAAATGTTTATATTATATTATGATAATATTGAGGGTAGATTTTAACAAGTAAATATACCTAAATGGATTAAATATACACATTTATCAGTGAAATGGTTAGTCAAAGTATATAACGGTTCTATATATATATATATATATATATATATTATATATATATATATATAAGACAGCTACTATTCAATATTGACAACAGAAAAAAACATCTTGTCTGATAGGTAATCAAAATGCAGAAACAAAGGTTCATAGATCACCGCACAAATTGGGTACATTATATAACCTTTCCTTTTGCGGCATGGTGTTTCGTACAAAACCAAGAAGTGTCAAAATTTGGTTTATTTTAAATCGTCAAATAAAACAATTCATTTGTGAGAATTAGAAATTATTATTTTATTCCTTTACGTTCCCAGTGGAACATAGGACTTCAAGCTAGAGCGCCGAAGTTTTGGTAGCTGTGGTACTTAGTTTCACAGGATTGGGCTGTTATTCTCGTAGCCAACCTTTCCTCTTTACCAGTCTTATTACTGGCTTAGCGAGGTAAAGGAATGTGATGACCGGAGATTGAACCTCGAACCCTATGCGTCGTTGGCGAGCATCCTACCACTGTGCCACAGACGCACGAAAACTAAAGATGACATAATAATATTAAAAACATAAACTTTAATTCTTTATATGAAGTTTATTGGCAGATACCTCTAGCTATAAATGTGCAGCAAGACTTCAATTTCAGAACTGTTTCAGATTAAAATATGTAAGTAGAACAATTCATACCACCTAGTTTTCTTTCTTATCGTTTTGAGTCATATCATTTCCGAATGAATCCGGATAGCGATTAACTTTGTTTTCTCTCTATAATCTGGTATGCATTTTTGTGATATAGTTCTTACACTTTATTTATCGTCTTATGCTCAGTTCTTAATCACCTCTAACACTAATATTGACACTACTCCGGCTGTCAATGGCGGGAGTTTACAACGCTCCAGTGCGTAAAACTTGGTCTGCTGGATCTGAAAATTATTCCTGTTTCCCAAGTAAAACTTGCGTCTAGTCTTGATGGTATGTAATTGAATCAGAGACTTGGAGATGCGTGTTAGGACAACCCGCGGATAGTTCATAGGAAGTGACACTATCTTGAGACACAGGCTTTATGACTTTCATGTTGTTTTCTGACCTGAGAGGAAACAAAATCACAAACACTTTCTTAGCCACCTTGCTTAGCAGTCTCCACTGCACTAAGAACTCAGTGGTTAAATGTAAGTGATCACGTGACCCCTTGTGTTGATACTTCAATCAAATACGACTGGAAATAGAAATCTGAAGGAAAAACGGCTCAGTTTTCTTATGCTTCATTGTATCAGAAGTAATGGGAAGTAAAATATACATTTTGGTGCACTTTACAAGTATTTAGAGATGATTACTGTTATTACTTTAATTATCCTTGCTGTCTTTCTCTCAGTGTAACTTTGTTTTTCTGGACATCTCCTGGTGCCCATAATGTGCGGGGTTTATGATTAGATATGTAATGCATGAACAATTATGTGTGTCAAACGCAAACTGGATTTCATTTTTGTGTTATGAGAACTATATACCTTATACAAAAGTTTCACGCGAAACAAAGCTATAAATTTTGTGAGACAATAAAAAAGAACTTAATTGGGAACCATGTTCACATACCCTTGACGATCTGAAACTTTTAACGTCCTATCATAAGATTTCGCCGCTGTATTGTCTAAAACTCATCTCTATAGATCTCATTTCTACGCGTCTCTTAACTTTCGGTATACTCCCTTTATTTCACCAAAGAAAGGTCCTAGTATGATGCATATATGATAACAGTCTACAGACTACTGAATACAAGTCTGGAACAAAATCTTGTCTGTCAAACCAAGCTCTTTAAACTAAATAATAAGATTTAATAGTGGGTCTAATGTGACCTACCCAATTCTCCTTGTCTCAGCTCACTAAGTTTTATACCACCTTCTCCGATGAATTCTGGAACAGCAATCTTCCTTGGTGCAATCCCCATTGAACCACCTCCACTGTTTGCCGCGACTATTTCACTTGGACGCATCCAAACAATATGGCATGGTGGTCTCTGACTGTAATACAGACTTGAATCATCTGCTGGAAATGATGAATCACAAAATAAGTGGCCCGAACGAAGAAGGTCTTGTCGAATCTTTTCAAATGAGTTTGAAGGTCCACCAACAGGACTAAATATTGTGCTAGGTCCACTCATAAGCATTGGACTAGGGCTTGCTCCTGTAATATGCACACAAAAGAGAATATAACACAAATTATATACGGTTGTATTACTTACTTATGCTTTTCTAAACATCACATGATGGAAGACTAAAACAACTAAAAATTGGGTTCTAAAAGGTGTTTTTGTGTGTTTGAACGTAGCGATACAACTTAAAATATGTTTATAGATAAGGACATCATATAGTGGATTCTTTTTTAACCACGGGAAAGCATACAGACATGCTCCTTACCTAGGAAGTACATTCATTTTTTATTATAGACTACTACTGATGACCTCAACATGTCTGATGAGGCAGCTTCGAATAAATATTAAATATAGGAAATCACTCATTTATAATTCAGGAATTGCAACTGAAAGTAACTCAAAATACTAAAAATTTATTCGTCGTAATATCTTACTGCTAGCTGCAGAAATATGGCTTAAGGATTACGGGCAAAATGCAGAGTATATTACTCTTTCCAACTGATGGCTTTTTTGTGGAAAAGCATATTCGATTTAGGATGTAACCTGAAAATAAGTTAATATTTCAGTTTAAAGATTCTCTTGCCAGCTGCTGATACTAAAATAATTATTCATTATTACACAGTTTTTAAGCATATGAAAGATAAGATCGAAAAGATTTTTTTCCTTTGAATTAGCCAATAATTCTAATTAAAAGTTTGAATAAAATCCAAACAGATCAGATTGCTTTAGAAGTAAAAATTGACGATCCGTACTAAATGAACGCACGAAAAGAGATTGAAGGCTTTTGATGATTACTTGCCTATGGGGCGAACCATTTAGTGGAAATTCAAGAACACCAAAAGTCTGAAGTTGAATAGGTATAAATGTAAAACACTTTTATACGGTTTTAGAGCCTTAATAAATAAACATCGTACATATTGCTACATAAACACAAGAACTTAAGATAAATGATATAAATAGGCATGAAAGTAAGCTAAGAACAAAATACTCTTCATTCCAAAGAACTTCAAATGATAAAAACGTATGAAATTTTGGTCTTTGCTACTCTTATTTTATATGGCTGAGTCTCTCTTGTCACAGCAAGTAATTAACCCTTGATGGAAGCTAAAACTAACCTAGCGCAAAGTAAAGTAGGGTCGCCTGTAACAGTGAACCACTAATAAAATGCTGATACGTCATGTTATCCTATGTCAGACTACACACATCAGGACATTGTGAGTAAAGAACACATCAGTGCTATGGAAGCATTAGCCACAAAAGACAATTGTTATCTAAAGTGCTAAATGTTACATCCTAATTGAAATTAAAATCATTGAAATCAACTTTCAACACATGAAAGTGTCTATCAAAAAGAAAATCTCGCAAAAACAACCTAAATATTTTATTCTCATTGAAGTTTCACAACAATAAATATGTGTTTTAGTTGCAGGTATTTTTGACTGTTTGGATGATCTCTATAAATACACTAACATTTTTATTTATTTTTCGTGATGTTATGAAGAGATTAAAAGGTCATTTGAAACTATACGTTTGTTGTCCACCTCTAAATAAAATGAAATTTATAAGGAAGTTTGTTCAATAATCGGGTGTTAAATCATTATAATGATAAAGATTTCTAGAAAAAAAAAGAAGTGGTAAAATTCTAACAGGAGTACTGCATACACAACCGTTTGTTGATAGTCATGAAATCCTTACTTATTACAAATTTCATAAGCGTTTATGTACTTTTTTTACCTACGACAAGCTTATTTGCAATACCTACAAAACAGTTAATTTTAGCTGTGTTCACCAAGTGACTCATAGATTTCAGAGCAAAGATACCGCTGTAACCAGAAAACATCTTAAATTGTTTTACTTTAGATCATCCTATCAACTTATATTCAAAAAAATGAACAAACACATAGATCTGATATAACTTGGTAAATGACTGACTAATGGACTGGACATTCAACTCGTGAATTTAAAATGCACACAAAATGAGCGAAAGTAGATAAGCAAGAGTGTGATGAAAACGACAACTTATTGATTATTATTAGAGCTTTCTACAGCCTGATAGACGATAAAAGTTAAAAACACTGTTTTGGTTTGAGTACTTTGATTTCTAGAGTCCTAGTGACCTCATTCAGCCCACCTCCGTCTACCTGCTTGCTTGGCCCAGACCAACAGTCAGTGAGTTCACAGACTGAAATCATCTCCTATCTCAAATCAATGGTGTTTGGATAACGTTTCGGGATACTGAAGACAAGTGTCTGATATGCGAAACATGTATCTCAATCACCGTAATTAACCGGGATTTATAACCTGGATAATTGGCACTCCACCTATTGTTATATTTGACATGAGGAACTAATCAAAGACCTGCAGTGCAATTATATTTTGCGTTTTCCGTGGGAATTTTTATAACCTTAGGGACTTAATAAATAAATTGATGAACAAGACACCTGCCTTTTCACAGGCAGACAAACACAAGGTCTACATCAAAAATGACATAAGTTAGCAAGCGCTAAGTAAATCCTCTTTGTCCACAATGATATTTCATAAAAAGTAATGCTAAAAGGACAGAAACAACCATTTAAACTCTCACCTTTAAACTAAAAGCCAGCGCACACCATTTGTAGTATAATGTTAATCCTAAAAACAGTCACTAGAAGTAGGATAAGAAATAACAAATAACTAGATTTAGCTAAGTATAGATTTTTATGTGTCGACTGTTACCACAGCTTAATGTGGTAACTCTTCAATCATAACTTTGGTAAATTTTCTCGCAATACATCGAAATATATTTTAGTACATTCTTAAAAGACTAGTTGTCTTACTGAGTTTAATCTTGATTTTAAGCGATGAACATCACGAGTTCAGCTCTATGAGGCGCGTATTTCTGTTTTTTACCGCAACCAGATAGCAGTCGTTTCGTGTGCAATTACAAGAATGAATAAATGCATAGTTCCAATAATATGAAAATTTGGGATGCATCAGGAAGTTATAGTGATAAAATGAAACCTATTGTAGGACATAAAACATCTGCTGACTTGTCTTATATATTTACAGGCAAATTTATTCACACTTAATATATACATATGTAGTGCACATTGTACCTTTGAACTTTTGTTTAAACTGACTCACCCACGGTGATCCACGTTTTACCTTTTGACTTGTGAGTACGTTCATTGGTTCGCTCTCTTGTTGTGCTCTCTTTCTGCACACTCTCCGAGCCTACCTCCAGCAACGTCTGCAGATAAGTTGTACGACTTCTTTATTTATTGAATTTTATATTTCGTTGAATAAAATATAATTCTCCCAGGTACTCTTGTCACATCAAGTCTTTTTACAACGATACAGTTCGTCAGTATTTGCGCGTCGAGTAGTGTACTGCTAAGCTTAGCAGGTCGCAAAACGGTGAAGAAGTTTGTAAGGGTGTTTAGAGTATAGGTCCACTCTAAGCCGTAGTAGAACTCTTACACATATATGGAAAAAATGGCTGGCATGCATCCAACTTATACATCAGTTTATGTTAAATAAAAAATTCCCAATTTAGTTCAGAAAAACAGAAGGCATATCGAGGTAAGCAACGTTCTTCATAAGCATTTAATTTCACATAAATCAGGAATATGGAAAATTTAGGAACCTGAATGGAATGCTCAGGAAGTAATGATAATAAACTTCACAAAGTGGAACAACTCCACTCAGATATTGTTGGAAGAACCGAGAAACTAGAAACAATTCAGACTTAAAAACGTTTTATTATGCCGCATGTTCAGTAAACAAATGTTTTACTTATCCCGAAGCCTCACATATACTGTTATTTGTATGCAGGATATATTTTAAAAATTTATTTCAGCAAATAAATACAATTATGAACTCGATTCGCCGATGAAGAGACCTTCTTCTTAACTAATGACCTCATAGAAATCTAACACAATACCTCTGCGCTGATACCAAGGCGGATAATCATATTTCAGATATAAGTAGAAGGTTTGGAACCAAAGAGACAATACAAAAATGAACAACCTTCTTTAACTTACTACAATAATTATTTTCAGCAGGTCTTGGACTTAGAGGACCCCTTTCTGTGTTAAAATTCATTCCCCGTGCATTATGCCGTGCAGTTTGCATGTCGTTAACATACCTCTGTGGTGTGTCTGGCGGATACCCACTATTATTCCTTAACTTGTGTTGTGAAGAGGAATTATTAGTGTATCCAAGGGAGTCTCCACAGACATTAAGGTGCTCCAGTTTATTTTCTAAAGAGCAATTCAAAGGTAGGTTTGAATGCATTGACAAATATCAAGAATAAGTTTTGCGTGTTTAAAATTACGGAAATTCCAGATGATATTTCATCTTGTTTATACAGCCGCTGAAAGTTCATCAGGGTGAAATTTGAAAATTGAAGTGTTCAAACAACATGGTCACAAGAAAATATCTGATAAGATGCCTAAGTAATCAACGATTGTTTCGTAATCTAAACAAACACATTCAGTTTAGAATTCTACTTAACAAGTACATTTACTTAGTACAACATATTTTCATACAAAGAACAGACTCCTTTAGGTATCAACTCATCTCAAAGCCGTGTGATAGCTCGCACTTACAAAGTACTAACTATCACTAGTCGTCTCACTTATCTTTTCTTTACACTGTTCATGAGATGGAACCTTGAGAGTGAAATGATTACTGATCATTTGTTCGAGTCGTCATATACTAAGTCATCATGAATTAATAATGAGTTAGCTATGATGGAGAAAATTCGTCGATTAGGTGGTTGATTTTTATGTGGTTGTGTTCTTTAATCCGTATGGTTCATCTACGAAGCTTTCATTACGCTGAAGTCTTTGTCTAGTAAGGCAATGAAAGCTTCGGAAATAAACCATCCACCTCAAACAACACAAATACACCAGAACCCCAGTACACACTATTTGATATCCGATATATGAGCTAGTAGACAACAAATGCATTTCTTGGCATCGCTCCTCGGTATCTGCCCATCGGTGAGCCCCTGCCTCGTTCGTGTCATTAATCAGATGCAGTAGCTTTGGTAGCCCCAACGTGAACTGATGTGGAGTTTCAAGTTAGATTTAGTTCGCAGCGAATAGTGTGATAAAACCGTGGTTTTTGGTAATTTGTACTAACCATTTACCCCGGAATGATAAAAAACCAGATACCAAAACAGCGATGGAAATTTTTAAAAACAATAATAACAGCACCTATCCCAGAATCACTGGCAACTTAAAATGACAGAGAAACTTTGAAGTAGCTAAGATACAAGTAAGCAGCTGAATGAACAGCCACGGTAGGCAGAAGGGTGTAGCAAATAAGGCTGCGTGGTTTCAAAGACGAATTTGTTTGAAAATCCATTCTCAGATTTCGGTTTTTAGGATACATCTCAGTTGGGTTGTACGGAAAGTCACTAGACACAATTCATGTGTCCCTGCTTAAAGACTAAAAACTAAATTCCGGTAGAAAGTTTTGAGGGCGGGAAAAATATGTAAAACGAAGCTGGAACTATCTGAAGTTTCTGTCCTCTGATGCTGGTTCTCATAGTGAAATGAATAACTACCTAATAACGGGATATTTTTGACTGGGTGTATCGTGTCATAGTTGGCGGTTAGACAACACATAGCCTGTCTACTCGAAAGTGTTTTGGTCACTCCTGCAAATGAAAAAAGTTTTCAGTGGTTTAGCCTTAGTTTTCTCCGTACAATATGTTAGGTCTGAGTTTTTATGGCCATTTCGGCGTTCTGAAGTTCCTCAGCATGTACTTTCATCTGACAATCTCAGTCAGGCTTTGCATGGTAGTAAGTATCAGATGAACTGGTAACGAACCATCATCGAAAAGTTCGTCAAATATGGTAAAAGCACTGAGTACTTTTTGACTTTAGTAACCACGGTCTGCAGTTTTCAGTTTAACCATATAAGCAGTCGCCAAGAATGAAAGACAAACAGTGACCTAAGAGATTTACACTGGTTCTTCATTTCAGTATTCAGTGTAATGGATATTCGGGGAGTTGAAACACCGTGGTGAGATTGTGTGTCATGGAGTTGGACACCTACGATCATCTCTTACTGGCAGCTACTGGCAGAAAACATAGGCAAACTAACTGTCTTGCTTGGGGAATGCCTACATAGATCCGAAACAAGTGATGATCAGTTAGATCGTCTAGAAAAATGGATAGAGATTGTCATCCCTTAAGAGGCAGTCATCTAGCCTCTGTTGGTGTCTTCTCTTGAGAACAAGCAGTCTCCGAACCGATTGGTACCCTATGACAAATAGCTATTGAAACGCCGAAATTTTAGTTTATTTATGAAAATATCAAAACCATAAGCGATAAAGAAAGCAAACGGTTATGCCAAAACAATGATTGCATTAGTTTAGAGAAATCTTCAACTGTATTGCGGCCCACGAATAAACATTAAACTAAAGAATAACCTTAAGAAATCGGATATTTCCTCTGATAAAATGTGGCTGTTAGTAGTTGGTCTCAAATCCTTACAGAAGCAGGACATTTAAGCGTGAAAATGTGAAGTTTCCGTGAGGATTACAATAACCGTTCGCTGAAAAACTCGAAAATTATCACAGACACAGTGTCAGACATAATTTGCGCTTTTCATCTTTCTTGCACTTGAGCCTACTCTAGCCTGGATTATTGAGGTGATTTTGGTGTAAGGAGCAAATGCTGGATAATTGGAAAGATAAATTACTCAGTTGAATATTTCACAGAGTAATTAAAATCCATAAAGGAATACCATACTCAAAATATGAGGTAAAGATGTCTATACCTAGTATATAATTAGCCGGGTCTAGGCAACAGGACTGCTACTACCGTTACTGATTTTTCTCACCGGTCTTAAAACATTCCTTAATGCGATTTGGTGGGCATATATTAACTGGCTGTCTTGCTTGTGTTTCATTTCACTCCTAATGTCACTCCTCGCCTACTAGTTAGGACCGCAGCTCGATAATTCCAGGGTCCAGATAAACCTGCCATTACTAATCTTCAAATGGAAGATTCGAGGTCAAAGTTTCTATGGATGCTAGTCTAAATCACCACCTGGTCCCCATATGCTTTTTACCTCAAAACCAAAAAGCCTAATTCAGTCACTAAACCGGACCAAGCTAATGAGTGTAGAAATTAGAAAAATGTGGATACAGCTACAAAATTATGACAAACAAACTGCTTGGATCGTCACCCAGTCAGCACTGTATTACAAGTCCTAAATAAAGTTAGCGCCAATTTCTTCCAAAATAAACTCGGGACGACAGTGCTAAGCCATTACTAAAATCATGTGTTGAGTTACGCATAAAATCCAAACAACACAGGACATGTGTAAGATGCGGTGCTCAGTTGTGAGGTGTCCGTGGGTGAATGCAGCCAAAAGGCACAGACAGTGTGCGTCAACAAGCAAAAACTGCAGAGCTCTGTCAGTGGAGATCCACGCGTAATTTTAAAAATGCCAGATACAGAATAAAGGCCAAAAATTAACCCCGCATGATCAAGGCCATAGGATGAAGAAGCAGTATGTAGGTCATTTTTGTCCATGTTACTCGGCCATGCTGGATTGATGTATGCTAATGGTTCGTTCACACACTGGCTTTTAAGTTAATCCTGCAGTTGTTTGCACCTTATCTTGTTGCATATTATCCACAAACGTTGCGTTTTACATAATTTTTGCTAGCCTACCGTTAAAATTACTTGTCTCGTTTGTTTTGAAAGGTCTCATCACCACGTCATTCCATTAATTTCATTGTAATTCTTTCATACTTCGCTTTAATGCGTTGTAGCAGTGTTTTAGTTTATTCCAGCTGTTGACGGGGAAAAAATATGTACAAGTTTTGTAGATGAAACATTTAAGCGTGTTTCGATGACAGAAGCTGTTGTTTCTAGCTCATGTTTCGGTTGCCTGAATTTTTGATGGTTCAAATGGTTACTTAATACTTAGTAATCCCGAATAATAATATATATTTCTTCCTGTTTATGCAGGAACATACCAATTGTACAGGCATGGATAAGTTATTATATAAATTACACAAAATTTGATGTATAATGGATTTACAGTTTGGTTGTTCTTTCTGACATCAAAGTCAGTCGGAACAGTCTGCTATAAAGTTTGTTTGTGTAGCACATAAAGAGATATAGAAATATTGTCTTCGCATTAACAAAAAACCCAGACATCAGATGAATGTAATACAAATATCTGGGAAAAATAAAGCTTGAAGTCAATTCTCTTATATAACTTTGTTGTGAACAGCACCCTTGGCTTAAAGATTATTGATGTATTATGTTGAGATCAGTGATATATTTATTCCATTTTTTCAGCGGTCTTATCGTAGTTTTATAACAGGAAAGAAATTTGATCGTGGATACGAAAACTAGATAAGGTCATGTTAAGTTGTTTTACTGCATCAAATGGTGCCGAGGTCGATTCCAGAATTCTCCATTTGCTCCATTTGTGTCTGCATGGCGGACTGTATTCGTAAGTTGAGTAAAATGTTGAAAACTATTTGAAGACCAGTTGCTTCTTCATTTCAGATCATGAATACTCATTTACAGCATGTTCGCCAGCGTCTTCAAATGGTAGAATTGGATCGTTCATGGAATTTGAGTGGTTATGAGATAGACGGTTTGGAATTAATCCTCATTTCAGTTTAGATGCAGGGTTGTTCGACCTCGACCAGAAGATGAATAGGAGCAGCAAAATACCAGAAAGAGAAAGTATGTGAACATGAAAAGGACATTTATATATTATGCATTTATAAATGTTTATCTTAATTGCATATTATACTTAAGTAAACATTTTTCTATATTGTATTTGTTTTCACGTATTTATGCGAAGTCTTAGAGTTTATTTAATGTCATAATGTGTATTAATGAGTCTGAGCGTTTTAGTGTTCTAATGACTGATGCGTTTTAGAAATAAGTGATGGGTTCTGGTAGGGATAGTCATTTGGACAAAACAGTTTAAATAGCAAGCGTTTGAAGGTTACAATGAGGGATAGGTCCTATTTCTAAGGGTAAACTAATCCTGTATGTTCCGTACTATGTCTTTATGCATCCATGCTGCTAGTTTATTTATAGTTTAAAGATTGCTAAGGGTGTTGAAGTGCGTCTTTTAGGTGCTGTAGTAGATTAGTGCTTGATTCGTTCTAGGAGTAAATAGTTTATTAATATAATCAGTAGAGTGAAACAGTCTGTATAGAGAGCGTTTGAAGCTTGTAACCGAAGAGCAAGTTCTGACATCTAGGGGTAGGCTATTCCATATTTTAGAATACATGACTGTGAAGAAGTTTTCACGGAGTGTTGACCTAAAAGAATGAGTTGTCACTGTGCAAGTTTGGTTACGCAGATCGTAAGAACCTTCCTGTGCGAATTGTATGTCCCTGT